TGATCACTTAGAATCCGCTATGGAGTTGGTTTATTGTTTACATTTTTTCCCTTATGAATTTGTTTGGTGCAGCATTCTATATGTATATAGGTATGTTTGAGCTGTTATAAATATTAAAAAAATAATTTATATATTATAGAGTTGTTTGGGGTGGGGATAAATTAAACGCGATCTGCGATGACGTCACAATCGTGTTGCATTGTGGTCTATGAAATGGCCTGAAGTGTGCATATGAAGCAGACTCGCTCCCTCGGTCAAAGTCGAGGGTCTGTCCATATAAACTTCCCTGCACTTCAAAATGGCAGCGGGGATTCCCCCGAGGGGATGTGCTTAGGGAAGTTCGCAAGTGCGTGTCTAAAAGTGGAGTGGGACGCAGCCTTAATATGGCTGAATTCGGAAGTGCATACTTGCATTCTACTTTTGCTGCTCAAGAAACATTTCTGATTATTATCAATGCTGAAAACAGTTCTGCTGCACAATATTTTTGTGGAAACTGGGATTTTTCAGGATTCACAGATGAATAGAAAGCTCAAAAGAACAGCATTTATGTGAAATAGAAATCTTTTGTAACATTATAAATGTATTTATACATTTTTTCTTTTTTGTTGTAAATCTATTTTGTGAAACTTTTGAATAGTAGTATATCACAACTGTTTTCAACATTGATAATAATCAGAAATGTTTCTTGAGCAGCAAATCAGCATATTAGATGATTTCTGAAGATCATGTGACACTGAAGACTGGAGTAATGATGCTGAAAATACAGCTGCACATCACAGAAATAAATTACAGTTTAACAGATATTCACATAGAAAACAGCTGTTTTACATTGTAATATTATTTCACAATATTACTGCATTTTTGATCAAATAAATGCAGCCTTGGTAAGCAGAAAAAAACAGTTTCCCACAATGCAGTGTGCTGATTATAAATAATTACAGCAGTTTTACACTAAATTGGATTACAATGACTATCTTTATATAGTTCACACCACAACTGTAATGATAACGACACAGAGAAATTATATCATTTGAGTCACTTTCATGGTTTTTCTTTTTTTTCATTTGCACTCTTAGTTTGACTTGTTACCCATTTGAGGGGCTCTACAAACCATTATGAACTTATCCAGATATGATGCAGAGCATATACTGAACCTTCTGAAGTATTATTTTTTTTATTGATTATATATTTAGTTTGTTTTTATTTGAATTGCCTCTAAGCTAATCTTGTTAATTACTGAGGCCATGTGATGACACTGAGTATGCATGCTATACTACTGTATGAAATGTCGGTCACCGCATGCTGCATACTTTTTAGTATGCAGGTAGTGATTACGGTAAGTACACTAGTAGTCCATGAGAACACAGCCGTTGTGTTGGTCTGAGAAGCGTTCGCATCTGTTGTTGCTGTCTTCAGCACTGCTGCTGTTTGAAGAGCTGAAGGCAGATGAACGTTGACCAGACACCAGACAAATATTTACTCCGGTAAAAGTGCAAACGCAACACATTTCCCGCATGTCAGAACCTGTATGGATCCATATGGTTCCTGTCAGAGCTGGGCCTCCCTCACTCTCTCTGTCTTTCCTATTCAAATTACTTTATATTACATTTTCACCTCAGAAAAACCCAAAATGCCCAGCACTGGATGGGCTTGAAACTACAGGGAAAATGAGCAGTTCTCCAATCGGCTGACCACTCAGTATCCCACTCTGTTTTGACAAACTTTTCAATCTCAGAGGATATTCAAATTTTTATGATTAAAGCACGACTACAATGTCTTCCAACTATGTACAATCTGTCAATATGGTACCCGTCAAATTACAACTCCTACTGTCTGTTACATCAAAATCAACAGGAAAATGAAACGGTTGCCCACATCTTAAATGGATGTTGTTGTTACAAAGGACTGTATGTGTCCAGACACGATCGCCTGGTTGATCTGATTGTAAAGGACTTGAAAACAATACATAAAGACAGTAAGTTTTACCAGCACACTACTGTTGAATTGAAATGGTTTTATGACAACACATCTGACAGTGACTATTTTAAAAACAGTCAAGACTTGGAGAAACTTGTTCATGCCTTTATCACCAGCAGGGTGGACTATTGTAATGGTCTCCTCACCGGCCTTCACAAGAAGAGCATTAGACAGCTGCAGCTCATCCAGAACGCTGCTGCAAGAATTCTGACTAGAACCAGAAAATCTGAGCATATCACACCAGTCCTCAGGTCCTTACACTGGCTTCCAGTTACATTTAGGATTGATTTTAAAGTACTTTTTTTGTGTGAGTGTGAGTGTGTGTGTGACAGAAAAATAGTTGTCATAACATGTAAATAATTGTAAAGAAAAATCTTGATTATAATAACCACACATTTAATAATATTATTAGTAATATTCTTAAAGTAGATATTGATC